TTTTCCTCGTTCCGATTTATGCTTTATTCCAATGATTGTTCAAATGGCCCTCGTACAAGAAGATTCCGATACATACTTACGATACATCATTTGTTGTTGATTGTAATTGACTGATTTCAAGATGAGCTAAAATCAAATAATTTTATAAAAATGAAATAACTTTTTTCGATATGTCTTTTAATATGTCTCAGACGATACCAATTATCAATGAAATTAACAACTTATTAAAGTGTAAATTGAAATTTATTGACACCCGTCGAAGTTATTACGCACGTACAAATGACATAGAACATGTTTACAGTTGGCGTGACTAACGTCAGCGACACCATTAGCGAATTCAGTGTGGAAGTACAAACGTTCTTGACCTTTTAATGTATGAACGAAGCCGCGTGGGTGTCCGTACCACTGTGCTACCTATTTTCATCTCATTTGTAGTTAGAGCATCGGTTTGTCTTATTTCCGTGCACAGGACAGCGGCAAATGGAAAGAAAAATTTAATTAACGATGCGCGACGTCGTCGCGTCATTTTTAACGGGTAGCATTGTACTACATGTTATAGAAATGTATATTACAACATGTCAGACCTTTTAGCGAGAGTACTATACAATAATTAATTTTAGGGCACTTTAGACTTTAGACATTAATTTGATATGTAGGAACACTTAAACATTATAGATTCGAGTTTACTGTACTCTGATGATTATTATCCGTATTCAATAATTATGTTAAGTGCAAATGAAAAATAGTAATACACATGCTAATTACAGATGCTACAAATAATAATCATTAGGTTTGTCATGATTTTGAAACATGGAATAATTGAGAGATTGCAGTAATAATCGAACATATGTTTATGTTAAATATATCATTTTCTATTATATAATATGTCTTTATAATAGTAACTATTTGTAATGCAATATTATCGACATATCTTTTTGTGAGTATATTAACTGTTTTCTGAGAAAGCCATTTCTTTAGTTCGTAGTACCGCGAAAAAAGGCAATATCCAAGCGTGGTAAATGCAGATGAATGATGTGCGTCTTTTAGACATTTAAACTGCAACATGGAATCGTAAACGTACCAACAAAAGTGATAAATTAGACTGTACTTTTAATATTTTTCAATTCATCCCAAAACTACCTCGTAGAATTTTGTATTTTCATCTTATTTATCGATTGTTAATTCCCCATCATGCTATATACAATAGTTTCAATATTAATTCCAATATTAAGACAAATCGAAAATATACATATATTCCTGTCACGCAAGAGATTAGAGAATTCGTTGCAAATCTATTTCTTCCATACTCTTTCAATAGTTATGTGAATCTTAGAAATTTATTATTTAAATATTACCCCTTCCCCACACACAAGACATACATCATTATAGCGTTTTAATTTATTTTTCCAAACTTATGGGAGGGATATGTTTAGAGATGCGTTCTATTTAATCCATTTTTAGATTTTCTCGCATATAAATAGAAGCGCTAAATATAATATTTGACAGTATATTTTCTTATGCATCGTTAAAGCATATAGATGCAAGATTTTTATGATAAAATATTTGCGTTGAAAGTATTTATAGGTATAAATTTTCTTAAAGACCAATAGATGAATTTGTATCTGACTTTGTATTTGACTTTGAATAATAATAATAATAATAATTGAAATGGGGATATTTTTATTTAAGTGGACAAAAATGTAATTTATGAAATATCTAAAATTATTCACGGCATTTGTGTGATCCACAATATGAATAATATGTTTCGACGATATTCATATTTATAACTTAACAATTTTACGATGTCGTACTTAAACAAGTGAAAATTTTAATACAAATACATTTCGGATAACATTTATTCTAAAATAAACGTAATGATTTCCACGTACAAATATTTATTTCAGCAATTAGTAATTCTCAGAATTTTTAAGCATTAATTACATGATAAATATCTATACGTATGTATACATACAATTTTTATGCAATGATGTTAATATTTTATACGTTAGATATTTATTATGTAACTAATATTTTATAACTCATAGAATTATTAATGTCAATTATTTACCTATAAAATGGATCCTTTTTTCTTAAAAGTAAAAGATCTATAAAATAGATTTCATATAACTTGGTCTTATTTGTCACAATAGGAAAAATGGATTATGTATACATACGTGTATTTAATCATCGCAATATCTTTTTATCGTCAGATTATTTTATACACAAATTGCAATTTTACTAAAGAAAGCTGACAGATTACATGGTAATTCGCTCGTGTGAATGTTAAAAATGATAACAGTAATGCATTTTTCTTTGCGAGGCTAATGAAACAAAACATGTTGGCCGAATTTTACCCGGCAAAATATGACTGTGGAGATGGTGTTGTTGCATCTGCCGTGTTGCGTATTTACAGAGGTGCGCGCTTATTGTGGACATAAATTACGTCATGTTGCGAGAATGGTCTAGGGGCGAATATTTGGGATCTAGCGAACTCAGGCCGCGCGCGTTCCTATTTATAAATAGATTTTTATTCAAATTAATAATAATTAAACTAAAATCAGAGATCTTGCAAGAGCGTTAAAATAAAGGTAATTTTTTTTCAGCACAGCTACATACATATATATGTATAAGAATGTTTTATATGTCGCGAAACGTTTAAAAGAGATGAAAATTTCGGAAACCTACTGTACGACATTTGTGTGTACATACCTCTAGAATGAAATGCCGTGCCGTCACAACAGTGGCAATTCGCATTAATATCATTTCCGCTTGAAAACGTGCATCGAGCCTTTCAAGGTGCATTAAGTGATTTTAAGTACGTCACTAGATATGCGCCGCCGAATAATTATTGAGACCGTCGCTTCCACGAACGTCTACGCCATCCTAACTACTTCGGCCACCGGAAAATTACCACCGAAAATACGTCCTTGGTGCGATGAGACGCAATTTCGAGGCGTACTTCCGAAACATGTCCCCAGGCGTGAACAATACATCTTGAATTTAAATAAAAAGTCATTTTAGGCTTCGCCAACATCGTATAACTCTAAGCTAAGCTTCATTCACCTTTCCGAGGCTCCTTAAAAAAAAAAGACAAAGAATAAATTAAACTAAGATTAAAGTTAAGCGACGTTGAAATCAAGCCGTAGACTCACCGGTACATAATGCACAGCAGCGGAGTTTGTAAAACGTGCGTTAATCCATGCATAAAATACAAATATTACAAATTACAGAAATTTGAAGGAACTAATTTTTAAAAAATAATTATTACTTGCGTGAATCTTTTCCTTCAGTTTTCAAGCAGAAAATAATATAAATTGAAAATCTTTTATGCATAAATATAAACTTTTATAATAGGTATTTGATAAATACAAGTTTTCAACTTTTATACAAGTAATAAATCCGAAATAATAAATCTCAAAGACATTAAGAATAAATAATAAATATACGCTGTGGCTTCTTCACGGCACTCTCGTGACCTAATACGCACTCGCGAAGGCGCAGTTAATTATGATCGATTGCGATCGCGCACTAATGGGCGGAGTACGTTTATGACAACAGCATGACGCTTCACATGGCAGCCGGTGCTTGCGACGTTACTCGATGCGCATTTTGTTACAGCACGATAGAACAACGTGAGAAAAGTATTAACTACGATAAGTACGAAGCTACGATTCGTTCGATACACGTGATGTCTCACGGATGGGGACAACAGAGGGGTTTTGCAAAAAAATTCGAAAAAAAAGAAATCGAAAATCGCGCGCCGGCCACTGTATACATAACTATATGACGATACTACAGCTACCGAGTTAAGAGCTACGTTTTCATGTACTTTTTGTATTTTGAATAATAAATATACCTTGATATTTTAGGTTTATTATGAAATGCGTGTGCTAGAATTACAGAACAACTGATGAAGACTAAATGTTGTGTGTATGTGTGTGAGATACATGATTTTTAAATATCAAAATATTAAATTAAGCATTAACCATCATCATATTTATTGAACATGTCACGCCATTCGGTTTCTCAAAGTCGTGTCCGTTCCGTATAATTTATTGTGTCAGTTTCTAAAATAAAATTAATATAAGTTAAAGAAAATAAAAAATTAAATGTTAAAATAAGGTAAGTAGCTGTTTTATTACAAAGAAAAGTGAAACGACTTTGCTAATACGAATGGCTCATGTTTGGGATCTTCCGGTACTGGTCGCAAACGCGTTTAGAGGAATAGCGCCCGCAGGCCGCTACCTGCCGACTAGAGTCTCCAAGTCTCTAAGTATTAAAGTCTTGAGTCTTGAGTCTCGTCTCTCGCCTCGAGCGAGCAACACTGGTCTTTAGGCACATGTAGGTATACAGTAGAATAAGCTGTGTACGTTGCGAAAGACACACATCGACCACCTGTGCCAATCGATTTCTCATTACCGCAAAATTCATCAACTCGCACGTAAAGTTGAACAAAATTCAAACCGCGATGCTATAATTAACGCATACCACAAACGCTACAACGTTTATCTCTGCATTTATCAATTTAATTGCCAACGGAATAATATCTAATTGACAATTTTTTTACCATTAAAAGTTGAAATAGCGAACATGTTAGATTTGTTTGAAAACTGTATAACTTTTAATTTAAATTATTACAATCAATCTACATCTACGTATGTCTTTTATTATTATTGTATATTATTATACGTCAATTGATAGTGCTTTTCATATTTTCCTTTTATTTTGCACGTAGAACGATTGTATGTTAATTCGAACAAACCAGTTTCTCTATAATTTACAATAATCAGATAGCAGTCGAGACAAATTGACGTACTAAATTGTGCATTCTGGAATATAAGCCCGAGTAGAGGTCACACTAATTTATTAATTGTTAATCAAATTGCGTTCGAATAAAGTCGCATATGAAATCGCGTAGCATTTCTACCGTCGTATCCGCCAGTAAGGAAAGGAAATAAACTGTTCATTATATGTGATTTTTCCCGTTTATATTGTTACAGCTGGCACTGCCACGGAGCAGGGTTACTTCGGACCATGGAGACAATGTAAACTCCTTCTTTATGGACGTGAGTGGTGCAGCGTAAACGTCTCCAGGTTTCAACCAGTGTGTGAGTTTTGTTTTACGTAACTATAAAGAGTACTGATACTTTTAATGCCACGGCTTCACTGGAGCAGTATTTTAAATCTTCACAACCTAATTTTCATTTTGATATAATAATAGAATGACATTCTTATATCTAATATTATGAGATGTTGAATAATGTCAATTGGTAAGTGTCCTCTGTGGACAATTAACGAAAAAGATACGTTGTGACTATAATATTTAGTATAGTTCGATAAATAAAAATAAAAATTTATAGTATCTAAATAAACTCGTGGAACATTACAGTTTTTACAAATTGAAAAATTAATGATATGTTGGCGAATTAAAACTTATATAGGCTTAATATTATAGATCTTTAATATTATAGTCTATTTGCGTTTTTTACCTTCGTGGCGAATGGTTACGGCAATAGCTTTTTAAATACCCATAAAAAATTTATATATATTTACGTGACTCGTTTAATAATAAACTTGCGATTAATCATTTTCCCGTTTTTATTCTTCTATTATCTTCTCATTACATTATTGCAAAAAATGTAGCACATAAAGCAGACAAAGTTACGGGATTATGCAGCGCTAAAAATTCCCACGGCGAGTAAGCTCAATGCAAGTAGGGGATTACATTGGGATGCAATAGAATTACGATGGAATTCTTCCTTTATTTCTAGTGGCTGTGTGGGTAGCGGGATTAGCTGCCGCTGCCGCCTCTGCCTTTTTGGCGATTCTGGTCGCTTTGGCTGTGCTTCAATTAGCGATGGCCTCCTCCGCGAAACGGGTTGTTATTTCGTACACTACTGCCCTAATAGGCAAAGTCGCCCTCGCTACATTGGCAAGTGAGTACAAATCAGTATTCTAACGCAATAATTTAAATGAAGAGAGAAAGGGGGGGGAGAGAGAGAAATTTCAAAACAGTTTTAATTCCACGTTTAATTAATAAAACAATATTTAATAAAATCAAATTATATTTATTTAATAGAGAAATAAAATGAAATCAATTGTACTTGAAATAAAATTGTCAAGTAGTATACACATATTGTATATAAAAGACAGTATTCTATTAACTTTTTGAAAATACCTTATATTAAAAAAATGATTTATTTATGAAACATTTGTAGCAAAAAGCTGCTTCGTGAATGTCTTTAAGAAGAAAAAATTATCTTTAACCTAACCGCGTCAAGATTTCGCTATATGTGGAAAGAAATATAACATGTTATTTATGTAACAATACATCTACTGTTTTTAGTTTAGTAATTTAAATTAAATTGTGATTTAAAGTGGGGAAAATTATATTAATAATACGTATAATTTAATTTCAAATTCAAACATATTTCAATCTCAAAGCACAGTATATGTACATTTGTATCTTGTAATTGATATTACTATCATATTAATTACTGTTACACAACTTTGTATATAAATAATTTTTACTATTCTGTGTATGCCTACGTTTGAGATTATGCATTTAAATCTTGTTACATGTTTATAGTAGTTGCATAATTGTGTTGTTGTGAGCCATCTTGACATATGACAGTACACAAAGAGTTTAGAACGTTTTTTGCATTTTAGAACGTAATTTTGCAGTATGGTTGTATATTAGAATTACCACTTGCTCGCGCTTATCTACTTACTGGCCTATTTATGAGCCCTTATACGAGGCATCGAATATCTGAGATTGTATTACAGTAGTAAAGCAATATGACGTTACGCTAGAACCATGTAATCTTTTTTATTGCGTTGGCTTCGCAATGATTTCGCATGTAACTTAAGGAAATATTAGATATATTATGCCAACGTTCGAGTTTTTTTATTCCTGTAGCTTTATATCTGTTTCTAATAATGTTACATTAAAATATAAAATTGTTTATAATTCAATATATACTAAAAATATACTATATCGAAACGCCTACAAGGCGTTTATATGTACATATATGTATATGAGCTTAAAGATTGAAAATTTTCTAAATTGATTTGTTTGATATCTCTTTTTAGCGGCATTGTCGATTGTAGCGGCCAGCCTCTTCGCTCTACAAACGGATGATCGAGCCAATAGCTTTGTCATCACAAGAGGAGAAGCTTTTTATCTGCAGGTAGAGTGTAATAGCACGAAATCCTTATTTCGCTTTTTTAATTTCATTTATTCTTTTTTGTTGTTTGTATTAACATTACATGTTATATTAACGTAACGAGACAAGGTTGCTGCTAATTTATGAAATTTACAATTTGTCTCGTAAATATGAATGGTTTAATGATTTTACTCCTCCACTGTCTTCAACATACATCTGCTAATGTTCTCAATATGTAATGTTTGTATGCGCGTGCGTGCGTGTTCCTTCTTAATTGATTTCTCCTTCCTTCGAATTGACACGACGTTGTTAACAGACAAGATACATATATGTTCATCTTCGAGTTTTTAATTTCTCCTACTCGATACCGTTAAAACGTGTTGGCTCGACGTCATTTGCTTACTGGTTTTCCGAACTTGTTACATGCATAGGCACTTATATTTTGCATTCGTTTAGTTTGAATCACATTCACATTTCACGTACGTTTGATACTATGATGCTCAAACTGTGGTTTGTAAAAAATTAATTTGCCTTTTATCGTGCAAAAAAATTGTAATATAAAAAGGTTTTTTTACGTGAACATTCGTATGAAATAAATTTACCTTTTTAATAACAAATCGATCAGAAACAATTTATTATAATTTTTTCGTGCGTTTAGCTTTTTCTTCCTTTTACTGCATCTTATTATACATATATTATAAGATGTAAAAGCATCTATATTATTTTAAGAGATGTTGCATCATAAGATCTTGTGTGTTTTAAAAGAGTATTATTTAATTACAACAAATTGTCGATTTATTAAATAATCTGGTATCAATAGGAAACGTATAGCTTATATCCTGTAGTTTGAAATCTGTTGTTATTGTAGAAATGGATGCGTAAAGGAACATGTCACGTGCACGTTCAAATGACAATGAGAATGATTTATGTGACAATTTCTTGATAACAAAATACATTTTCTATATAAAACTTAATCTGGCTTTATTAAACCGATTTTAATACGGACGTACGGACTAATGAAGAAATAAATTGCGTTCGTTGTTGGCAATGAATAGTAATTTAAATTATATGTATATCGATCACTGGGTACTATGCCGCGACGATGACGGTGGTTGCATGCGAAAGAACGTCACGTTTTATAAAACTAAAACGATAATGTCGCCAACGTACTTTGAAAGTTTCTTCTTGTCGCAAGACGGCAGCTCAGATTTTTTCCGATACATATGAAACTCTCGCAATCTTTCAAGTTCAATTAAGCTTCAGTCCGTTAAGGAAATATGTTGTATTGATTTATAGTTTATTCTCAAATAATGTGGAAATCATGTAAACGTTTTGCTAACTGTAAATCTTTTTCAGTGCATAAAGTGATTATATGGAATAAGATTAGAGCAAAAATATAATTGTAACGGAGTGAATGAATCAACGAGAAATTAAGTTATTATGAAATTACCACGGAACTTAAATATGTATGTTAAGGAAAATTAAAATAAAGCATAAATTTATGAACATAAGGTCAATAAGAGGCCATGACAAAAGATGGAAATATTATCTTATATAAAATTTGAATTGATTGAGAGTGAATTGAGTCAATTGGATATTGGTCCAAAGTATCTAGTGAACATTTTTTTATGTAAAATTCAGGTTTTCGTACCATGAGTTTTATTTTACTACGTGAACAAGTCAAGTAGTAAAATAAAACTTATGATACGGAGTAAATGTTAAGTGCCGTGTCCAGGATACAAATGATATATATGAGTGTGTGTATTAAATAGCATAATAGTAATAATAAAATGCCAAATATAAGATATAAGTTCTAGATCAGTTAACTCGCAGTAAATACGCCCTCTGTTTTAGTAAGTTTAATTTGATTAAAACGTATGTAAAATAACACAATGATGCTAAACCAATTTTTATTTAAGCATGCAATAGAAAATTTGTTTTTAAAGAAATGTGTGAAAATTATGAAGGAAATCTGTGCGTGGTATCTTGAGAGTATCTTGAATATAGGGATTACGTACAATATATGTGTCTGAAAAATACCCTCCAGATATCACCCGTTTTATCAAGTGGGATATATGTCAGGATTATTATGATTTCTCAGCCAGATAATCTTGCCAAGTCTCCGCAGATTTCCCTTGCTGCTTTACGTGGGAATTCAATTTGATTACAATGTCACGAATATACCAAGGTAGATGATTTTGAACTTGGACACTCGGGGATACGTTTATATAAAAAGATTAGAAACAAGAAACGTACATCTGACCGGAGAATTAAACGCTTAGAATCCACCTGATCGTGAACTGGGCTCAGGTGTTTCTTTAAGCCCCCTGTCTCCCCACCGATTGCGACTTAGTATGTGTCAGAGCAGCCACGACTCGTAGATACTTTTAAAACAATGAGTCGACATTGGCGGGCCCGCAGTGAGTGTTTCGGTCTCGATCGTTAATGAACTCGCCGTGTTGTCCTCGTTCTCAGTTTTGCATCAAGTGAATTTCTTTTGTTCTCCAGTTGGTCATGTTCAGCCTTTTAGCGTGGCATATAAATTCGAGTGTAAGCAGTATTTTTTGCCACTCGAAGCTTTAACGACTTACGAAACTGATCAAATCGTGAAAAGATATCCAATAACAAGAGAGAAAGAACGAGCGAGTGAGAGAGCATAGTTGTTTACTTATACGTTTTGGTAATGTTGCAAAACTGTTTCTGATTGCCCTCTTCGAAGCAGTGGGTAATTGTTGCGTAGATAAGAAACATAGATAATACATTTGATCAGTTTTATGAGTTACTGTATTAGTCAAATTTGTTTTACTAGTAATGAAAAAAAAATGTGAAAAAGATGAAGCATCATCTCTAATCGATTGGCCACTGTATGTACAATATTTTTGATAATCGCGATAGTTGTTTCTTCAACATAAAGATTGTTTTATCATTGTGTTAGATGTACGGTATGCTGATATTTTATTGTTGAAAATACACAATGATGGACAAAAGGAAACGGAGTCTCTTGAAAGGGGCCAAGGACGAAATTGAATTGGACAGAATGAATAAGCAAAAACAAGGCAAGGTAACGTCGTTAGGTACTCAAGGAAATTCCATCGAGTTAGTTTCCGAGTTAATGTTTTTGCTTTCCCAGTATCATATTAAAATGTTATACGATAATAATTTTGCACAATGTGTATAAACGAATGTATAAAGGAAAATAATAAAGTCTGTTATATCTTTTATTATTTTTAAATCAATTCTATATTAGGGATTTTACAATTGAGAAATAATAATCGTAAGTTAAATCTTTGAAAACCAATAAATCAAGTCACGCTGAAATAATTTGCGAATAGCAATGCCGCATAAAGAGATGACTGAAGTGAACAATTTAAACGCTGCTCGTGACAGGCTGCTGTATATTGTATATATAGCAAACTTTTATCGCGATGCAACGAAATCATCTTGTTTATACAAGTAATGTTTCACATGCCGCTAGTTAAATGTTAATCGCGTAGCCCAACGTACTCATTCGCGTGAAATGGAGCTTCCGTTGTCTATACAATATAATCTCTCTTATAAGATTGTGCTTAACCAAGTTTCCCACGTTTTCGAAATTTTCGTAATTTTTCCGCAACTTGTTTTCTCTCGGTGTGCTTGGTTCTACTCGTAGATTGGCGCCAAACGCGAAAGAAACTAAAGGCGTGGAACGCGACAGGAAAAATAACTACCTATCGCCTTGATAATCGAAAAGAAACGGTGGAAAACATGGTCGCGTCGGTGCTAGCCTTCTCTTTTATCAGGTCTCTCGCGTATAGGGGAGAGAAGCTCGTCGCGAGGCTTGTCCCCAAGGAGGACAAAAAGAAAGGAGGCAAACACCGGACGACTACTAGATTAATTATAGCGACGGAACGATAATGGCGCGCGCGGCTTCTTTGTTAGCCCTAATTAAATTGTCTCCCCTTCCTCGCGCACTCCTTCCACCATCCATCCAGTCGATCACCACCTACGGATGATGCTTCTTCTCGTATCGATAGTATATGCGCGATGAGAATCTCCTAGTTACTCGCTCGCCGTGTAAGAAGGAACGACGTTCGAGAGAAGGCGAAAGACATTTGTTCGTGCTCGCGACAATAGGGATGGGATTTCTCTCTGAGATAACAGGGACTACGGTATACATAGCCAAGTCTCTATGTGAATCGGTATTTCGATGGAAGTAACACGCAGATACGCCAAATTTAAACAACGGATTAGAATAAGCGGACGGTGTGTTGGGTAATTGACCTGCAAGCCAATTAGTGCAAAAGAAAATAAATGCGCGATTCTTGGAAAAATAATTGTTGTTCGCGTAATGTTGGGTCGCGGTAAGTAAATAAGTAAGTTGACATCCCGAGCACATTTGCGCGACTTCACTATTAGGTATATTTTATTTTCGGAGATAGGTGCATTATTTTATTTCTTGGTTATAAATCTTGGTTGCAAAAGACAAGAAAGTAGAATGTAGATGTAATAAATTTCTTTCTTGTCGTTGTTGCGTATGAAGCTTACCATACATTATATAAGTGAAAAATGCAAAATTTACGTTTTCTCATTTTGCAACAACGTGCCAAGATGCGCAAAAGCGCTTCATAATACAATACATTTAGAATGATAAATAAAAAGAACGTGGTTATTTCTCTCATTAAAACGCATATATAATGTTAAATATACAATTGTAAACAGAACGATGTGCGATTGTTAGTATGTTTAAAAATTCATTTAGTAAATTTAGTTAATACAAATGACGATTACGAGTCTTAGAAAAAATGTGTCCAAGTTTGCTTATTTTTAATAATTAACTGCTAACTAAAAATAGTTTATTAGTATAAGAGTATCTACATAAGATATTTCTCTGAATTATGACTTGCAAATAATTGTTACTTCTTTTCGTGTCCTACTACTTGAAATATGTGAAAGGTATGAAATGTACAAGAGGGACTGTGAAATACAGTCTAGAGAGAAAAGTCCTTTATTATGAGCTAGCAGGTTTTCAACGTCCAAATTCAATGACAAATCTTTTTTCGCGACGATTACACGATCTAACAATCCATTTTCCCCTAAACAGATTTCACTTCAAGGGCAATAAATTCATCGATCGAATTTTGATGAAGGCACTTTTGCATACAACGTTTTTACTTATTATTCCAGTTAGCTGCCATTGCCTTGAACTTTGGCGTACTGGTCTCTGCCGTTTACGAGGGCATTTACGCCCGAAGAGGCGGCGACCCGACCAAGATTAGGGTCGTCACGGATCCCCGTGCAGCTACTATAAATAATCCAGGATATCGGGAATATCACCAACCCACAAACGGTAAGCTCGAACTGGACCGTAGTCCAATTTCCCAAAATCTACGACGGATCAAATTTCCCCATTGGATTTAGATTCGATATTAACTTTTCGCTATCATGTCGCATGAACGTCACCTCATTTAATACTGGATAAGGATAAAACACTGATTTAGTATGCCATGTCGAGTATAGAAAGGCACGCTCATGGAATAAGGATTCTTTGAGTATTTAATCCAAATAATGTGTAGTTTAAGCTTTTAAGGTAACCTTTGCAAATTGCTTTAGAAAATGTCCAAACGCACAAAGCTAATATCTTTCCTGCGTTATGTATTACTCTCTTACGAACGGGATACCTTTCTTCGTTAAGACCCGCATCTCTTTTCTTTGCTGGCATACATGATTTATA